GTGGGGGAGTGGGGCGGAGGTGGGGGGGATGGGGGGAGGAGGAGCAGGATGGAGTCACGGGCGGATCATCCAGGGGATCAGTATCCCGGCACTTAAAAATGACAGCAGGGGCCATTGAACTAAAGCTCATTCAATGAGCTTTAGTTCAAGTGCCGCTACCACCATTTTTCAGTGCTGGGACACTTCTAACCAGAGCCACATGCTGGCCCCGCTGTGTCCCCTGCCTGTCTAGCAGTGGGAGGCACAGCTTACCGCTGCCATTGCTGCTGGATGGGAAGGGGATTGGCATGGCAGCATGTGGCCTACTGGGGCAAAGGCAGTAGGGCAAAGAGACATAAGTCCACAGTGGGCAACCTGCCTCTGCCCTCACCCCGCTCAGCTCTGCTCCAGGTAAAAGCATCAAAGCATCCCGTCACTTAAAAATTAATTCAAGCACCCCCGCCACCATTTTTAAGTGCCGGGACACTGATCCCCTGGACGAGCCACCTGTCACTGCCCTGCCCTGGTCCCTGACCCTCTCTCACCACGGGGGCCTTGATTCTGCACCCCACCCCCCACGCCTCTTCCCCTCCACAGACTTACCTGCAGGGCGCTGCTCTCAACACTGCCCGGCTGCATTCCTGTAAATTGGTTATTGGATCGGTATCGGCCTGGTGAATAATCGACTATCAGTATCAGCCAAGAAAATCTTTAATCGGTGCACTCTAGTAGTGACCAAAGCCTCAGTTCAGCAAAGCCCACAGTAGATTGCATATGTTTAATTAAACATGTACCTAACTGTTCTAAAGAAAAGAAAAACTGATGTAAGTTCACATGTGGACTGTTATCTTGAAATCTCTACTTGCCAGACTGGTTAACAAAGATAATCCCAAAAGCATGCAGAAGAAAAACAACCACTGGAAATTAAACTGTATGCCTCCACAGGGATAGAAAACATCCCTTTAAAACTATGAAGAACCCAGGAGTACAACTGGCCACTTAAGATAAAAAGTACCGTTCAGGGAATACAGCCATCTGCTTGGCATAGGCAAGCCAGGAGAATATATCTCCCTTATACAGCCTGCTCTGAGTAATGTGAGCAATTTGTTCGCCTCTTCTGTGTGCCCAGAGCCTAGATAAGACAGTCTCTCTATGATCTAGGGAGGAACATCTTGATGCAGCACAAAGCCCAAATCCCAAGAGTGGGGCAAGATAGGAATCTGCTTACAGCTGGGTCAGCTCAGGGCAGCTTCCAGCGAGAGTCAGGTATAAAGCTCGGACACACACTTCTGGATCTCAGGTAAGATGCCTTTACAGCTCAGGTAGATAGGATTAATGAGGAACTCCAAGCTATGCCTGGTTACCCTGCAGTACCAAACAGCATTTGCGGATTTCTCATGCACAGGGATCCACGTGCTTGATCATCATTTTCTTTTTTATATAGATTCTACAACAAAAAAGTCTCCTTTCCACAGGAGTCACCCAAGCCCATTGTTTCCCACCATCCGGCCAATGCTGTGTGGAGATGACCATTCCAACAGCAAGAGCTGTGCATGGTTCTCCTGCGTTGATAGCAAAGACACAGCAGAACAAAGCCAGGCTCTCTCAGCCCTGCTGGCCAATTGCATGCATGCAATTCTATACCTCATACACTCAATTTTTTAGTTGGCCTATCACAAAGACCGTGTTGTCCTGTCCTTTCATCTCATGCCACATACCCTGGCCCTTGGTCTGTCCACCCATTCCATTATCAGCTCCTCCCCTGCCTTGCCAGCAGGATGTTGGGGCAGCCAGCAATAGCTATTTGCAACATGTAGGTTTGTAATCAGAAGGGAGAAGGGCAGAAAAAAGGTAGCACAGCTGCCTGCAGTTCCCCAAGAGCCCCAGGAGGTGGTCAGGAGAAGCACCAACAGTAGGGTCCATGCACAGCACACAATACACCAAGCAGGCTTGAGGGTAGATGCGATAAGGATTGCCAAATGCGCAACTGTCACAAAGATGCCCAGCACATGGCAGCCTTGATTAACAGAGTGAAACTACTGTGAGATCTGAATCTGGTCCGTGACAGTTCCAGACCCATCTATCTTGTCTAGCAGCTGTGGGGCATACCTATCAACTGCTGCATGCCACCATCCATGATAGTCCCAATTCAGACTTTAATGTCCAAATTCAACTTCTTGAAATTACAGTTTTGAACCTCCAGCCCTATTTTAGTATTAAAGCCTGGGGTGTTGCTGGCAGTGGAAAGCAAAACTGAAAAGCTACAAACACTTCCCAAACAATTCTGCTTAGAAAAACCTCAAGTGGGAACCCTAAATATCCCACTTGCAAGTGGAGATGAAACCAGGCTTAGACAGAAGGTAAAATAGACAAAATTAAAAGCTCCCATCTATTTGTGTTTCCCTGGACCTTTTAAGAACCTACTATGTCAGATTTCCAAGACTTTCACATTGAGCTAACTCTGCTCCTACTGAAGTCAATGGAAGCTAATGCAGGGTGCTTTTGAACCCCCCCCCCAATATAATCTGCTACTTCATAGGATTTCCTTTCCCTTCTTCCCTCCTCAGTTCCTTGCTTCTCAACTCTCCTGCCCTTCATTGCTATCCTCTGCATTCATGTTTTAAACATATTCATAAATATTTTTACTAATCATGTCTCCAAAACTGAAACGATAGGAGAGTGGAAGCATAAGAAAAGAGGACAGAGGATCAAGATCAAGGAAGAACTGTGGCCATTTTATATCCAACTTCTGTAGCCTCTCTAGTCATCAAAAATGGCAGGGAAAACTGTCTGTATCCTCTCCAGAGCCAAGAAGAAAGTTTAGCTTAGTTACAGAGTGCTCTGCTCTCCCTGCTGGATGCATTACATACCCCACCGCACAGAAGGGAACTTGGTAACAGAGAGCCTGGGATGAGCTGTCATTCCCCGACATCACTTCAGAGAGACTTCTCAGCATGAATTTCACCACTGCCAACATGCCAGACCACAACCAGTTACCAAGAAGTTAGGTAATACACCCTTATGTTAGCATCTGGGAAAATCCCACAGCCAAACAGGAATTGGTCTATACTGGAATCTGCATAGCAAGATATTCTGCAAGTACTACACACCAGGAACTGCTTAATTAGAGTGGTATTTGCTCTACTATAGGCTGAGAAAAAGATTTTCAAAAGCACCCAGTGATCCTGGGTGCTGCAGTTTCTGAGTACCCACCTTGAGCCACCTCAAAGGGGTCTGACTTTCTCAAAGTGCTGATCACAGGCTGCCTAAAGCTCAGTCCCCTTCAGGGAATGCCAAGGAAAGCATCACAAAATAGAAGCACACAAAATCACCGGTTGCTTTTGTGGGCCTTGGTCTATAATTTTACAGAATCACTGCCCTAGCAAGGCTGACTTTAACAGAAAGAGGTTAGTATCCCTTGAGTTAGTCGCCACATAGCACTTCCAGGTTTTCTCCCAGTTCCAAATTATCTGTACATCAACAGCAATTGCCTCCACACTAATCAACCTGTATCTCTTGCCCAACACATCCAGGAAGTGTCATCCCCCAGGAATCTCCAGTTCAATCCTTTCCACAGAACTGTTATTCACCCAGGAACCGCCAGTTCAATCCTTTCCACAGAACTGTTATTGGGATGTTACAAATATTAATTGTAACAGTGATGAATGAGTCAGATAGGGCCAGAGGGGAAGGCAGACTTCTTGGAAAGGAGGCAATTCTATTGACCAACTATTTTATTCAGTTAGCTATCTGGATAGGAAAATGGACACAGGCTTTTGATATATTTCATTATGAATTCCTCATCTGACTGCCCATGTTCCTTGGTGTGCTTCAGACCTTCAAGTATGGGGTGTACGCTTGCTTCTGGATATGTGTAATTGACCCCTTCCTTTGAGAGCTAGTCACATATAGAAGTGTCCCATGGGCAGCAAAAATCTAAAGGGGAAAAGACTTCCTGGAGGTTTAACACCACTTACCAAGCTGCTGCTTGATGCAATCATGCCAGTGGAGAGTCAGAAGATCAGGATAGATGTCAGGCAGCTGTTTCAGGGCCAGCAGCTTCAGCATCCTGGAAGTGCAGCACTTCAGCTCCAAGTCCCTCAAAAGCTTCTCTTCTGAGAGGGTGGTAGGACGCAGCTCCACCTTGTGCTCCTGTAGCACTTGGTCAACAGACAGTCCCAAGAGCTTAGGGAACAACTTCTCCTTCACCACATGGATGGGGATGAAGATAGCACCTGCTCGGACCACGTGTGGAAAGGGGCACTTGCGAGTAAACATGAAGGTCTCTAGCTGAGACAACAGTTTGCTGAGAAGCATGGAGGCATCCTTGAAATCCAACCAGATCTCCTTGCTTTTGGTGGGTTTCTGGGCTTCCAGTATCCGGGACCCGTTCTTGTGTTTGGGAGGTGATTTTGGCCTCTCTTTCAGCTCATCTGGCTCGGCCCTCTTCAGCCATTCCTTCAGGAGCTCTGGCGGTGCTCCGCACACAGAATATGAGATGACGTTGCAGAGAGACACGTGCAATGAGGTGAAATACTGGCTGGAAGAAGTCTGCTGGGCAGGGGATTCACAGTTGCTGGGCAGTGAGACATTGCCCTCTCCTAGCACAGGGGATACCTCTGGTGCGCTGGGGGGCAGGGCCTCTGAAATGTCTGGTAGTTTCAAATTAAGGCACGTGATTTGCAACTGCTGGGTGTTAGCCTGAATTGCTGCTTTGGGGCTTGGCTGCATGGGGGCACTGGTGAGAGGAGTCATCATGGGGTAGCTTTGCTGCATGGACGGGCTGCTGGGCTGGACTGAGGGCACTGTCCCCGCAGGGAGGGATTTCAGGATTTTGAACTTTGTGAACATGAAAGCTGCCGAACTATGGAAGTTGCTTTTATCCCCAGAGCCATTTCCTGCTTGCAGGGGCAAGGCCTGTGTCTCAGACCCCTCACACACCTCCTGCTTCTTCAGGGATGCCTCTCTCTCTTGTTCACCCTCTTCTCTTTTTGGCATCCCCTCTGTCTGACCAGCATGCCTCCCAGCATCATCAGACTTCGCTAGCTTTTTTTTCAAGCTAAGGTCTAGCACTACCTCATTGTGGATGACCTCCCTGCTCCCACTGGCAGCTGGGGCACTTTGCCTGCCACTCCGAGGCTCAGGGTCACTCTTCATGGACAGGCTATGTAGGAGCTGCTTTGGCTCAGAGCTTGTTTTGTAACAATCCCCTTCCTTCACCCTCATTTTACCAGGTTTACTTGCCCTGCTCTCTGCTTCCTTCTCAGCAGGTAACAACTTGGTTTTTTCTGAGACATTCTTGATAGCAGATGGCTCCGAGACAGGCTTAGCAGAGTCTCCACTTCCCAGGCTGTTAACAGTGTTTCTGATGGCTGGACCTTCTCTTTGTTGATTTTTGGAGCAGGGGCTCTCTCCTGGCCCTTCAGAGGGTCCTTCCAGGTAGTCTCGATAAGGTGCCAGGCTGAAGACATTGTTGATAACTGGCATGGGTGGGGAAGGAGGAGAACCCCTAGCATTTCTCAGGCCTTTCTGTCTCTCCTCAGAAGACACAATCTGAGGGGAAGCTACGAGCCCCTCTGTGAAGTCTCTGACTTTGGAGGATTCCCGTTTACTCTGGTGGTGGTGCGGGACTGGACTATCAGCAATGACAATGGGAGCTCCTGGCTCAGCTTCGCGAGTCTGTGTGCTCCTTGGCTTGGTTTCTCTGCAGGTTAAACTGGACCTTCTCTTGTCAGGGTGTGATGGCTCCAGCCCATTCAGGCTGGGCTTGTGTGCTGGACAGAGGCCCAACCCATAACCCATCTCTCCTTTAGGCAGCGCTTCTGTGAGCCTGTTTAGAGAGTTCACTGCTTGGAAAGCACTGTGGTGGCTAGCCATCTGCTTGCTTCTAGGGCTCTCCTTCACCAGCTGAGTCCCATGAAAAGTAGGCACTGTATCATCCACATGTTGATCATGGTGAGCATGTGAGCTGCCCAAGGAGGTGTTGTACAAAGACAGGTCAGGGGAGGCAAAAGGAAAGGAGGGGCTCTGTGGCAGGAATTCTATTTTGCAGCTTGTGTTTTTCTGCAGTTCAGGCTCTCGGGAAGGAGCACTGGGCTTTGAAGTGGGAGAAGCTGTTGGAATTGAACTGGCTGCTCTATAGACATAGCTCTCCAGAGGGCCAGGATAGTAGCTTCGGGGCAGCTGTTGTCTAAGGTAACTACTAGGAAATGCCCGAGGATCCCCACTACCCAGAAAACCAAATCCTTTGTAGCTGCCTGAAGATGGCAAGGTCGACAGGGAGCCGTTCTGCTTCTCAGCATGAGGGCCCTCCTGATGATATAACAGTGTCTGCTTCTGCAAGGGTAGAGGGTAATGGGAGAGGGGGTAGCAAGGGGGTGTCCTCTCTTGATAGACTGATGCTGGGGAATGGAGTCCAGGGCTGGTTGTGGAAGGATACATCTTGGACCATGCATTTTGGGTTAAGTTGCTGCCCACAACCTCTGTACAATTTTTCTGGTTATACACAGCAGGGTAGTTTGCTTCAAGAAAGGAGGTGTTTTTAGGTGCCCTGTACTTCTCAAATGCTGCAGAATAAGGTGAGAAACCTACTGTGGATGCTAGTGTCTCTTTTGCAGGAACCCCTGTGCCTTGATGTGGTGGCAGGAAGTTGGGCTCAGGGTGATGGGCCTTCTTGTGCACGGCCATTCCACAGTGCTGCTCACTGAGGTGGGGGTGGTGTCCTGAGGAGACTGGGGCTGGTAAAGTCCATTCCATTTCCATTGACCTCTTCTGCAAGCTTTCCATGTGTGAGCCTAAGGACACGGAAGTCCTGGGATCCACATAGCAAATGGGGGTTCTGTACACTGGCTTGGGCACTGCCAGGGTGGCACAGCCTGTAGGTGCCTGAGCAACTGCTTTGTTCATGACCACAGGTTTTGGCAGGGGGAAAGCATGGCCCTGAGCTTGCTGGAGCGGGTCCTGGTGCCCCACATGGTTTGCCCACTTTTCCCGAGCCATCAAGAGGTCTCGGACCATACTGTCCTTGCCCTTCTCAGCACCTGAGCTTGGTAAAAACCCCCCCATGCTCTCGGGCTCCCGTCTGTACAGAAGGCAGTTCATTACAGCTCCATCTGTCCGGAGGTGCTGGTTTACAGCATTGCCTGCATACTGCATGTATGCTGCTGCTGAGCTCCAGTGGGCCAGAGACTCTGTCCCATCATGGTTTTGCAGTGGGTATGCAAAGTAGGATCCCTTGTAAGTTAAATGGTTTTCAGAGCCAGGACTTGGCAAGGGGCTGGATTTACACAAGCCTCCGGGGAGGACGCGATTTGGCTCTGTCTCCAGCCGAGGTATCTTGTTGTAAATCATGGGGTCCAGGGACTCTAAGTGTCGTTTCCCAGCCATTTATATGTCACTCTCTGCCTCTTGTCCTGGATGCACAAGGAAGGATCTGTGTTGTCTTTCCTGGAAGGGAGAAAAGAAAAAAGAAAACATTAGTGATCTAAGCACATCGCATTAATATTTTGCCAGGTAAACCTAGCCGTGAAGGTGATCACTGTTAGCAGATGAAGAAAGGTGTTGAGAGATTGTATGGATGAAGCTGGTAGACTGGGTTCATACGGAATACACATTC